ATTTATTTATTTATTGGGTGGGAAATAGATGCTGAACCTCTTTGGTAATTAGATGAAGCATGTCCAGAATCTCAGAGAAGCCCGGTCTATGTAGAGGGTCCTGCTGCCAGCACATTTGGAGAAGTTGAGCAAGCCTTGGATTCGTATGCTTCGGAATTGTCGGTCTCAAGCCCTGCAGACAGAATTCTTATGTATTTACATATCTGACACCTAAAATTTCATATTTACATGTATACCACTGAATCTTTAATATCACCTCAAAGATGCCATTATTACTAATTTTTCATAAATAGGTTTAAGACAACCTAAGTGTTATAAACGTAAATATGAAAGTTAAGGAGTGAGATGTTCAAATACATAAGAATTATGTGGTATGTATGTAAATATCCATAAAATCATAGCAAATAATGGTTATAGGAATATTCGTCATGCATAAATAAGGTGATATATATATGTAAAAAATTGAAGTTTAGGTGTTAGATATGTAAATACATAGGAATTGAGTGGTATGTATGCAAACCTTCCTATTTTTAAAGCATTTTCACATGTGATGCATGCAGGAATTCTAATGTATTTACATAACTAACATCTAAACTTTACTTTTTACATTTATACCATCCAAGGCTTTCATATCTCAAAAACAATATCACTATTCAAACTTTTAAACAGAAAAATACACATTTTTATGCATTAGATAAGGTGGCATATACGTAAAAATTGAAGTTTAGGTGTTAAATATGGAAATATTCCTATTTTTTTAATACATTTTCACATTTGACACAAAGAGAAGAAGATTGTGGATCAAAACCACATCTTTCTAAGGAATATATTATAGAGATTTCGTTGACAATGCATTAACTTAGCAAAATATAAATACATTTTATAGAGGACAGATACTCTAAACCGAAAGATAGATGGGAAGAGAAATAGACCTTTTGAACCACACCAACCGCTGCTTGTAAAGGCGTTAGGTACTCGTAAGGAAGCTGAGGAGGGGGAAGCCGAAAAAATAAATTAAAATTTCAAGGTTTTAATGGCAACCACAAATGGTGAAGGGATTACCTTCCCCGTTAATAGCTCCCACAGCACGATTCCAAAACTGAAGACATCAACCTTTTGATCATATGGCTTGTGCTCTATGACCTAATGTCAAATAAATAAATAATTAAATAAAAAATTATATTATAATAATCAAATAATAATAATAATAATAATAATAATAAACCTGTTAGAAATAAAATGAATGCAGCTATTATTTTTTGGGGGCATTTACATAGATACTGAATTCCTATGTATTTACATATCTAGCACCTAAACTCTAATTTTAACAATTATGCCACCCAAATCTTACATATCATATAAAGAATATCACTATTTTAAATTTTTAGGTGAAATACAAGTTTGCATGCTTACGTTGTAACGATCCGGCTCGAGGCTTAGAATTAACCAAGGTGAGTACAAACGCTCGTACAGTGGAAATTAAGATTTCTATGTTCATTTTTTATAAATAGCTATTTAACAAATGGAAGAGCCAATAAATAAATTAAATAAAATTAGTATAATTAAATTTTTTCTCATTATAGATTGTCCGAGTCTTCTACAAATATTTCTTCTTCTATCGTTCATCTTTTAATCAATTAAATTAACATAAAAAATTAGTTAAACATAACAGTAAGCTAAACAAAACAGTGAATACTTATACTCCTAAACAATAGTAATAGAAGAGAAAATAATACAATATGTATATCAGTTAAACTTTTAATAAATTAATAAAAACATTTGATATTTTAAGATTGAGGTTATTCAATGAATTTTACTATAACAATATTATATCGATATCATTTTATATTTGTACAATCGTCGCATGAGCATTTTCTAAAAGTTGTACCAATTAAAGTATTTCAATATCAACATCATTTTTCATTAAACAGGTACCTTAGCGTTCCCCCGCTAGAATTTAATTTATTCGTGTTATTTTAATTAACTATAAGTTTATATTATTTACGTATTAAATTTTTCATTATTTTACTTTATAAGAACCGAATTAACTTTATTTTTGCTATTAAAGTTCATTAATTAAATCAAAATATAAACCCAAATGTTTCTGGTCAAAGTTTGCTCGAATCAATCTTCCTCTAGCTCATACACTTTGCGCCCTTTTATTCCTGTCCAAACTAAAATTCTAACCAAAAGTTCTAATTTTTTTATTAACGTTACAAATATACATATATATATATATATATATAATCAATTAAATAAAAATTGTTAGATTTTTCCTTTTATAAACCCGGTTGAGCCCTAACCCACAAACGCGCGGTTCGATCCTTCTCTATGCTCAACTCCCTCCCACTTGAGCTTTCGACATTGACGCCTCCTTCCTCCTCTTCTCTCTAATCGCACGCATGAGAGCTTCCGCCTCTTCTCTTTTTTTCTCTGCACAACAGCAATGTCGCCCTCACCCACGTGGGAACTCCTAGGTCTTCTTTGTGTTTAGCTACACAGACTTGAGTTTAGTTACTCATCTCTACCCTAGCTCTATCACCCTCCTTCGAATGGGTAAATCTTCCTTAAGATGTAGAACTTGCCTGGTTTCCTCATACGCATCGTTTTATAAAACGTAAGTGAACTTTGAGTTCCTGTTCCTGACTGTTCGATTCCTAGCCCTCCTTAGAGTCCTAGCTTCTTCTCCCCCTCTATTCGACTCTTCATTTCCTCTCCCTCACTTGGTTTCCTCATACGCATCGTTTTATAAAACGTAAGTGAACTTTGAGTTCCTGTTCCTGACTGTTCGATTCCTAGCCCTCCTTAGAGTCCTCGCTTCCTCTCCCCCTCTATTCGACTCTTCATTTCCTCTCCCTCACTTTGACTCTTGGTTTCTCTCCTGCAAGTAATTGAAACGAGACTTCAAAATTCCCCACTCACAAAAAATTTATTGTAGAATTATAAAATGGACCGTAAGTCACATCTCATTAAGCAGGTCAACATTAGCTATCCATAAATTTTATGATAAAAACTAGGGGTGTCATTCATTAAGATGAATAGTAATCATGGTAAGGTAAAGGCTCGTTGCAAAATGACTTAACTATACTTCAAATAACAACACAAAATTACTTAATCAAGAATGTATGCAACAAAAATACCCTTATATTTAAGAAAATGTCAAACTCATCAGACCTCATCACCATCGCCAGTTGGTTCTTCAGGCACACTATGAGTAAAGGAATAAACCCGAGGTCAAACAGGTTGTCTTGGTTGAAATTGGGTAGGAGCTGAAGCTATACTCTATCTTTTTTTGTCCACTTGCAGACTTCTGTGAAGGAGCTCCGTCTATTTTCTAATCTTCAGTGCTCATCTAGCCAAACGATGAACAAAATTTTGCTATATGACCAAGCTGATGACATCAGTAGCATGTATTATAGCCTAACAAGCATTCACCTTTATGTTGTCTTCGCATTTGACACAATTGACTTCATTGCTCTGAGTAATATCTCTGCTAAATCCCACCTGAATTGTTCTTGAACTTCTTCCCATTGGATCCCTCTTGACCCGCATGTTCTAGTTCATCAATACTCTTCTTCTTGTGCGACTCCTTATGCTTTTGAATAAGCTGATAATCGATTTCCACCTTCTAGCTCGTTCCACTAATATTGAATATTTATCAATCCCCAAAGGTACCAACGACTATCTAATCGAATCCTTTAATCCCGAAAGGAATCTATAGTACTACTCTTTTACGGTGGCGATCAATTGTGCTGCTTACCTTGACAATGCAGTTAATTATGTTTTGTATTGCATGACTGTCTTCTCTCCCTACACCAACTTGATGAAACTGTCTTGCAACTGTCTTCGAGCTGATAGGAATAAAAACCATTATTTGAAGCTCCACGAATTCCTCCTAACTGACTATCATATTGGGTATGTCCCCTAGCTTGTTTTGACGTTGCTCACGCCACCACCTTTCGGCTTCTCCATTTAGCAGAAACATAGCTAATGACACTCTTCTTTTATCTAGACACTTTTCTTCTGCGTTAGCAATCAATTGTGGCATATACATTGACACTGCGATAAATTCAGCTTTGTTTTGCATGACTGTCTTCTATCCCTAAACCAACTTGATGAACTTGTCTTGCATTTGCCTTCGAGCTGATAGAGGTAAAAACCATTCTATGAATAGCTCCACCAATTGCTCTCAGCTGACCATCATAATAGGTATGTCCCCTAGCTTGTCCTGTCGTTGCCCACGCCACCACCTTTCGACTTCTCCATCTAGCACAAACATAGCTAATGGCACTCTTCGTTCATCTAGACAAGTCATATTATCTAATATCTTTTCAATTCACATTAGTTAATTCTCTGCTTCAATCGAATCTCCAGTCCCTAAAATAATGGTGGACGTAAATCTTGAAATATCTTCCAAGTATTTAGGTAATCACTTTATGATATTCTCTTATTATATGATTCTTTGGATAAACTTCTCCATTGAGATATATTTGGTTATATCTTATTGTATAGTAAATACAAGATACTTAAAAAAATTACACATCGATGTAACTTTGTTTAGTGATATTGGAGAATTATCATCATCGAAATTTGTCCTATATAAGCTCAACTTAGTTATGGATAGGATCTCTTATAGTTATTGGGTTATGAAAACCATAACTCTTCCACATAGATAGAGGATCAAGCTTGAAGATTGAGATTTAAGATCCCAGCTCACAGTTAGTGGCCCAATTATTTTTCTTTTGTTCTTTCTTTTTGATGATTATCCCAACCCACTCCCACTTTTTATTGTAGGGGATTAAGACCAGAATAAACTAAAACTAGTAATTTATCATTTTGATCGTCGTTAGAATGTTGGTTCGTATTATCTCTGCCCTTAACAGCTAAAAGATCAGGCAAAACAACAAATTTCTTGCTTTACTGATATTATTTTTGGAAAATTTTACGAACTTGTTATATTTTCGAAGGGAGAATTCAAGACGGTCACACCATCAAGTATGTGCGAAACAGTTCAATAATCTAATTTCCTCAAAATTTTTTTGATATTTTTTGCTTGATTTTGTTTCATTCCTTTTCGTCCATTTTTTAATTAAAAAAAAGATCACTTACGCAGTTATGAAAAATTAGAAGTATTTTTCTTTGTGGTTGAGTTCAACTCATTTGCAATCCTAAATCTTATGAATTAATTGTAACTAGCATGATTAAATGATATTTCTCCATTAAAGTTCAGAAAAAGTATCGATGGGAATGGAATTTTGAGCATGCAAATTTGCCCTCTTAGTTTAAACAATACATTGTGCAAGATTGCTTATTCATATATCAAACTGGGCCCACAAAAGAACTTCAAGGACAGAGAATACTCACCAAGTAAAATTTAAGCCCTATGATTTGAGCATAATACGAAAAAGGTTGTTTGGAACAGATAATTGCATTATAGCAGCCTCAGTTGCCTTACTAAGTAGCCAAGTGGTATGTTTCTTTGGATTGTAGCAGAAGAACATGGGAGATTGATTCTAAGAATGCTTAGCAAATTTTAGAGATCCAAGAAAAGAGGGACAACATTTGGCAACATATCAGGTCATTCAAACAATAAGTTTTAGGGGCATTTACATACATGCCATTCAATCCCTGTGTATTTACATATATAACACCTGAACTTTACTTTTTACATTTGTACCACCCAAATATTTCATAATACATAAAAAATACCACTATTTTAATTTTTTTTTAAAATGAAATACACTGTTTCATGCATAGGTAAAGTGGCATGTATGCAAAAATTGAAGTTGAGGTGTTAGATACGTACAAGACAGAAATTTAGCGGTATTAATGTAAATGTTACAGTTTTAAACAACGTCGTTACGATTTTTTCTTACATTGAGATTTGCAATTTTTTTATCTAAGTACACTGCATTTATTGATGAAGGGCTTGTGACAAAATTAACATATTGCATCTTCTGTGTGCCTAAAGTATCTTATTAATTTACATGTCAACATCTATTTCTTCCATGTCTTATAAAAAATTGACGTTTGAATAAGATGATCATTTCACATATAGTTTGAGTAGATATATTTAATGTGAGATATTAATATCTAGCATATCAAGTTGCCCTTCGCTAGCCAGCGGGTCCCAGAATTATAAAAGTGCTAAATTAGTCCTAAGTCACTTTTGATAGGGACGACAATAGTTCTTACTGGAACTATTTTAATAAATATGAACAAAATATGGGAGCTAAAATGACCCCTACAAAGAGACAAATAACCATTTTGACACTTTTCTCTAGCATCAATGACAAAAATTCAAAGTAAGCTCCACATAATTTTCTTTAAGCGTAACCGTGTTTGAAAAAATACCTCAGGAGCCATCCAACGATATGTTCCTGTTTCTGCTGTCATAACTCCAGTTTGGGCTATCACACGCGCAACACCAAAATCTGCTACCTTGACAACCTATGCAATAAACGATAATTAGGTACAAACGTATGTCCGGATAGACTGTAAACTTAAATGTTATTGATATGCATAATCACAAAAAAATTTGCCTTTGATTAAATTTTGATTCTAATTTTTGTAAGGCTCAACTTTATATTGTAATTAACAATGGGTTCTTTAATACATAACTCTAAGAGTTTAAAATAACAAAACTTTTAAAAGGAAAAAGATGAGAAGGCTCGATCACTTTGTAAGTTTATTGTCTTTTTGTTATTTATTTTCTGTTGTTAGTGTTTGGGATCACTCTATAGCAGCAATAAGATGATGAGGCGATGGTTAACAATGGTGGCATCGCGACTGACTATGGTGGTTGAGACAGAATGAAATGCGGCGGAGTAGGAGTGGCAATAGTATCAATGGCAGTAGTGCCTGTGAGGTGGCTATAGCGACAGCATGCAGTGCTGGCAAACAACAGTAGTTACGGTTGTGGCAACGACCAAGAAAGGCATGCGGTAGCAGTAATGGTAGCTGACGGAGGTAGAAGATGGTGAGATGGAGGCCGATGAGAAGTCAGCAAGAACTCATCATTTGATAAAACTGAAGTCACTTGAAAGCTATCTTTGAGTCTTGATTTGTTGTCCATAAACAAAAAAACTCTAAAACATTAACCAAATAAGTTATTTAAAAAACAAAAAGTGATGTCAAATAAGTCCTAAATGTTTATAAATCAGTTTAGGCAAATACAATCAAATGATAATCAAACCTATATCTACATATTACACAAACGGATGCCGGAGTTAACCTAAACCACAATAAAAACACAACTATTATTGAAATTCAAATAGATTATTACGACGATGACACTTCAAATCGAAAATAAACAATAATAAACATAAAATGACACCCTAGGATGGCGACAAAGAGGATAGGTGGCAACTGGTTAGCAGGTGGATGTGCTGGTAGCAGGCTAGCTGGATGTTGGCTGGTGGACCAGTGGTAGCATGAAGCGCAGGATAGGGCATGTCTGAAGTAGGGAAAAAGGAGGGGGGTCGAAGTGGCTATATTAGAATGCGGGTAGGACGTGCGGGGGCTATGAGAAGGATTACATGAATGGCAACAAAAGTGGCTATATTAGAAAGCGGGTAGGACGTACGGGGGCTATGAGAAGGATTACATGAATGGCAACAACCCGCTAAGGAAATAGGGCAGGGAAGATGTGGTTGTAATTGACAACAGCATAAACTGGGAGGAAAGACTAGTGGATTTCAGGTGGAACAGAGGTTGTGTGGAAGGCAGTAGGTGGTAGAGAGATGGATGGAGTTGGCGGTTGGAATCAGAAAGCTGTGGGGAAAAGCAGCTGGTGGCAAAGCTAAGGCCTGAGTTGGTGATTGTAAGCAGAAAGGGACGGGAAAAGCAGCAAGCGGCAAGGAAAGTAAAAACTTGGCGGCGTCCAGGAGAAGGCAGCAAGCAAGTGGAGGGTAATATAAGGCTAGCGACAGCAAAGAGAGAGAAAACAACGGGGATAATAACCATCTCAGACAAGTTACAGATGGAGCACCTTCTCGCCGTCGGACACAATGCTTGGAATGGAGAAATACCTCAGAAGCAACAAACTGAAATTAGAAACAATCAAAACTAAACCCTAAACAACAAGCGACGAATATATAATAAGATTGATGGGAGAATAGAAGGGAAAGGAGACAGTAAATCCCGCCCAAAGTCTTCTACCCAAAACAGTTGGTCGGTCCAACCTCACTGCTGGACCAGACCATCCTAGTTGAACCTGGTTGGACCGATTTAGTAGTAGCCCCTGCATCAGTCTCTCGGGATTGGGAGAGCTTCGAATTTATTCATCGGAGCTTCTGGTTCTTCTTCTACTATCCTAGCAGCATCTGGATCCCACAATCGGTTGCACAGTCTCCCGAAGCACCTAAGGATTTTCCTCTACTTGCGAATATACATCCATATCAATCTACTCTCCTGGGGTTCCATTACTAAACTGAATTGAGTCTGCATGTCTCGCCTATCTTGCGGAATACTCCCAAAGTAATCATTTATTTGCTCAACTCGATCTGGTGTGGTGGTAGCCTAAATCACTCCGAGCTGGTGGAAGCCATGGTGGTAAGATATCAAGCGTGATATCTTGAAATGCTTTCTATCACGATTGCCCCGTGTCTGGAGCTTGTCCCTCAGTCCTATCAACATGAATCGTCATCAAAAATCGGTCCCATCAATGTTGTTATGTTAGCTAGGACACTTGTGATCTCGGATTGCGATGAAGGGAGGACGACGAGCTTCCCATCTTAGGTGAAGGCATATGTGCTTATGAATCCGTCGTGTTGAGTTCTGTGGAGACTTGTGATCTCAAACTATTACACTCTCCCCAACAATAAATGGCTGACATCCATGGGTACCATATCACACACCCAACAACAGGTGTCAGACATCTATGGGTACTACGTCTCACCACACTTTATCCTGCAACCGACTCTCGATCGAAAACTCCACTGGGCATCTCCGGTCACTGATCCTATTCTCCTTCAGCCACGTCAGAGAATATGGATGGAAGTGCCTCCGAGTCATGAGACATAACTTTTCTACCATCTACGTAGATGCCACATTCTTATTGCTCCCTTCATCAATGATGAGACTGCACACCTTCTCGTTCACAGTGCAATAGGTTTAGAATATGTTATGGCAAAACCTCTATGGATCCCTTGTATCCTCAGTCTGTAGGATTCGTCAAACCACGAGCAACTCTCCTTTATTTGATAGAAGTTGATACACCTCACCCTATTCCTCAATTACTTCCTCATCGCTAACCTCCTCCACGACGCCCTGCTCAGTAAAGAACACAACTCGGCTAGTCGAGAAGCTGGTTGTGCCCAAATCCATGGCATTTGAAGCATTATCTGATGGGAATTGTAATAGGTGTGCTTTTCATTTCAAGCTTATTTTTATTGGGGGTGGCTTTATCCTTATTCAAACAAGTTTTCTCAACTCCCTAAGGCATGCTCCTGCTGGTGTCTTGAACTGTGGGTGGATGTTTGATTGGTGATGGTTGCCTACTCGATTTTTTTTGTCGTTCCATTTTCAATGCTAATGTCTAAACATCTCCAATGACCAATAAGGCTGCAACTACGCCACATTGCTGATTTAGGACTTCAGGCCACCTAGATAACTAGCTATGGTGTATTCCTCTGGCTTTAACAAACTACACTTCATCTGCAACTGATCAAACTTCGCGGTGCCACAGATAGGTTTCCCTGCTGTAGGTGGTGGAGGCTCAGAAACATATACTGACGATAGTGAAGAGGTAGGTTTTTTTGCATCGCCTTCCGCTTCTTTTCCAACTTGATAATCTTGTCATTGTCTTCTCTCTTCCTCTACCTCGTCTTTTCCAACTTGATAATCTTGTCATTGTCTTCTGTCTTCCTCTACCTCTGTAAGTTGTCTATCATAAAGAGACGCTCTTTCTCAATTTGATAGCTGCAAGTTTCACCCTTTTATCTTCTGATGCGTCTTTGTATTCAAAGATCCTCTCAATTAATCGTAACAATTCGATAAAATCATCTGGATCCAAACCTCCAACAAACTCTGGTAAATCCACCTCTATTCTTAAGTCACTGTGTTATCCAAATGATGTCTTCTCTGTATACCTCTTCTGATACTGGATTCTGAAACATTTTGATATTCCTTCATCATTGAATTCCTCCCTATTAAAGTTTAAAATTCTCGCGTCTTTCGCTTCTTCAATTTTCCCTATCACCATCGAGGGTAAGTGCCCTATGGATTTCATCATCCATCTTCGCAAGTCTTTGTTGGAGACGATGGGGCTCTCGTTGCATCTCTTATCGAGTAGACTCGGGTGCATATCTCCTTAGTGGCATTGTTAGGGTTTAGAATTAAGAGGTGAAAGAAGGTGTGTGCGACTATTTGAAGGTGTAGTAAAATTAATTTGGTGTTGCTGAGTTTGAAAATAAATACAAGGAAATTAGGGCTAGGTCGATTTTTGGCTATGGTTTGGGAATATAAAAAAAATTTTTGGGGTGGACGCAATTTGGGTAAGGGCTGATACTAGAAAACCCTAGGATATAACCAATATTAGGCTAGCTCTAATTCAAATGATACCGAAGTTAACTCAAACTGCAATAAGAACAAAAATATTATTGCTAAAATTCAAATAGGTTACAACTTTTCAAACAACAAAATAAAAAATAACAAACAAAAAAGGACACCCTAGAGCAAAGGCAATAGGGATGGGTGATTGTTGGCCAATAGGTGAATATGCTGGTAGGAGGCTAGCTGGATGTTGGCTGGTGGACTAGTGGTAGCATGAAGGGTAGAGGAGGGCACTATTGTAGAAGGATGAGAGTAGGACGTATGGGGGCTGTGAGGAGAAGTATAGGAATGATAGTAAGCCATTATAGAATTAGGGCAAGGAATATGTTGTTGCGGTTAGACAACAGTGCAGCTTGGGAGGAAGAACTTGTGGAGTGCGAGTGGAGCAAAGGCTTTCGTGGAAGCCACTAGGCGGTAGAGAGATGGATGAAGTTGGCGGTTGGAAGCAGAATTGTGCGGGGAAAAGTAGTTAGCAGCAAGGCTACGAACTGGAGTTGGCGGCTGAAGGCAAAAAAGTGTGGGAAAAACAGTTGGCGGTAAGGAAAATAAAAAAGGCTGGAGCGTCAAGGAGATGGTGGCGAGAAGGTAGAGGGGAATATGAAGTTGGCGGCAACAGGGAGAGTGAAAACAAAGAGGATAATAATTACCTCAGATGAGCTACAACCGAAGCACCTTCTCGCCACAGATACAACCATCGGAAAGGAAAAATGCCTCAGAAGCAGCAAATTGAAATCAGAGAAAATCAAAACTAAACCATAAACAACAAGCAACAAATACAAAATAAGATAGGTGGGAGAATAAGGGGAAAGGGGACAGTAAATTCTGCCCAAAACAGCTGGCCCGTCCAGCCTCCCTGCTGGACCAGACCCTCCTAGTTTAATTGGGTTAGACAAGTTCAACAATCAGCCCTACTTCACAAACTTTCATTTTTACACACATAACACTCAAATCTTTAATATCACATCAAATATAGCATTATTATCATTTTTTAAAAGTGAAATAGGTTTAAAGCACCAAAGTACTGTGTGTAAATATGAAAGTTTAGGTGTGAAATATGCAAATACATAAGAATTGTGTGCTACGTAGGAAAATTTCCCTAAATCTAAATAAATCAGGTAGGTAAATTTCCCTAAATCTAAATAAATCAGTTTGCCAACAAATTGAATTTCTATATCACTTTAAAATTAAGACGGAAAAACTAATAATAGATAAATGGAAAAAATAGAATAGCCAAACTGCTCTGAAATGTCCAAAACTAAAAAATGAAATTAATTTTTAAACCAATATGATCACAACTAAAGAAAGCACAAAGTGAGATTACTCGCCTCATTTGCATCCATCAAAAGATTGGCAGCTTTTAAGTCCCTATGGATTATATTATTTTGATGTAAATAGTTCATTCCTTTCGAGACATCAATAGCCACTCTCAGCAAAGCTGGAAGCTTAAAAATGCCTTTTTTCTTGTGAAGAATGTCATATACACTTCCCCCAGACATAAATTCTAAAAAAAATAAAAATCAACTCACCATAATTAGCATTTAATATGCAGATGCTTGAGGTAGAATAAGATAAAAATATTCTCAATAATTAAAGGAGAATTCCTCAAACTAGCCGCACCACCATACCTGTAACTATGCATAAGCTGGGTGGTCTAGTGCATGCGCCAATAAATTGAACAACATTTCTATGGAGGATCTTCCTGCCATCATTTACAAGAGTAAGTAAAAGGTAACAAAAACTCAGGTTGCATAATCAGAAATCAGCAAATCACAGCAAACCGCAGAGCTGTAGAAACAATATTTTTTAGTAGTCACAAAACTAGAGAAATATATGGGGAAATTTACTTACGCAGCACACAATTCTTAAGAATTTACATATCTCACACCAAAACATTCATATTTACATACACATCACTTTGGTGTTTTAAATCTATGCATGAAAAGATGCATAAGTGATAATAGTGGTACATTTTATGTGATATTAAATATTAAAAATTTGAGTGTTACGTGCGTAAATATGAAAGTTTGTGTGAGATGTGCAAATACATAAGAATTACGTGCTATGTATGTAAATGCCCCAAATTAATAAGGAAAAAACAACTGGAAATTCAATAGTATTCATATGAATAAGCACAGTAAATTAGTTCAAAAGAGATGTAGAATAAAATATTAAAACTATTTCAAATTGCAGTAATCCTTTTACAAATATGACAAAACTATTTCATAATATTCAGAAAATGAATGCTGTTTCTGCAGCCATTTCTGACAATCTATGTAGCACTAATACTTTTAAAAATGTATCGTACTCGTATCAGACTCGTATCAGACGCCAACACTTGTTCGACACGCCCCGACACTTCTCCGACATTACAAAATTATGTCTGAATTTTTTTCAGGCCCGAACTAGTCCATGACACACCTCAACCCGCATTGGACTTGAGCTTAGCACGATTTCGAGAAAATGAGACATGGGAATTAGAAAATTATAAAAAATACGTATAGCCTGAATTATATCTCATAGTCAAAACCACCCCATCTCTCGTAAAGTAAAATTTCCCTAGAACATTCATGAAAATCGACCATCGAAGAATTATCCAATATTCGTCGAAGCCAAGCAATAGTAATTCTCTCTTTGTAATCATAGGATTTTTTTTTTTAATTTTAGTAGATAAGTTGGATGATAGTAGATAAGTTGGATGAATTCTTTTGTAACATATTATATCTAATTTTAAAATTATTTTTTATAAACACAACGTTTTATAATATAAATTAAATTTATAAAGTTAAATTTTATTCTTGCATAATTTATGTTGTTATATTTTTAATAAAAATGGAAAAATAAATATTTTATATTAATAAATAATTAAATGTAAAAACGTGTAATATGACGTGTAGTGTTTTATTTTTTCAATTATATCGTGTCCCCGCATCGTGTCGTGACCCCGTGTTTGTGCTTCACAGTTGACAATATTTACTCGAGTCTTTCTGTTGGAGCTTTCCAAGTATATCAGAAGCACACGAAATAATAAAAGTTGCTTAATTGCTAATTATATCCAAATAAATCTGGTAAAAACTTCATAATAATGAAGCACACAGCTTGTCTAACTATACAACCAGAATATATTAATCATGTAAAAATTAATTCTCTACATGTGATCAGATATTAGGACATGAAGAAAGTGATGAGGCTAAATACATATAAAACGGTTTGAGATTGTCCACCACGAGGAGCAATCAAAACTTGATGTCAATGAAATCTAAGCAGATATAACAATATTTGATCCAAGATGGGATGCAACACAATCTGTTGTTTCTACTTGAGTGAAAAAACATTAAGAATTAGGATGGTTTACACATATACCACTAAATTCCTATGCATTTACATATGTCACGACTAAATTTAAATTTTTACATATATACCACCTTATCTACTCATGAAAATGTCCATTTTAATTTTTAAAAATTAAAATAGCAGTATTTTTTATGTGACAAGAAAATTTTGGGTGGTGAAGTCTAGGTAATATGTATGTAAATGCCCCTAAGAATAAACAATGATAAGTTCATGAGCAGATCTGAAGGTGTAGCACGTGTTATCCACATAAAACATGACTAAAATAATCTCAGCGAATTAACATCAATAGTTATGAAATTGCAATTGATAAATAATACTTACAAGAGCATTTTATGTATTGACAATTCCACAAATTTTATTAAATATTAAGGGACATTTACATACATGCCACACAATTCTTACGTTACATATCTAAAACCTAAACTTTTATATTTACACTCAAATCTTAAACATCACATAAAAATACTACCATCACTATCTTTTTAAAGGCAAAATACACATTTTCATGCATAAATTTCTGACACAAGGTGTTTATAAGAGTATATATCATACTTTGGGTGTTAATATGTAAATACATAAGAATTATGTGGTATGTATGTAAATTTCCCAAGATTTAATCATGCTCTAGTAAATGGCATAGAAAAACACTTATAGTAGAGGAATTTATCAGAGAGTAGTAAAAGGGTGAATAAAGTTTAACATTTAATCAAGCTGTTTGAAGGGTTGAACAATAAGACAACTAAGAACAAAAGGAAACCATTGATTTTTGGGGCATTTACATATATACCATACAATTCTTATGAATTTACATATATAACACCCAAACTTTCATATTTACATGCATAGCACTCATATCTTTAAAATCAAGTCAAAATTAGCACTATCACACATTTTTCATGCCTAGATAAACATCACAGCAAAGTGCTATGCATGTAATTATGAAAGTTTTGGTGTTAGATATGTAAATACATAAGAACTGTGTGGTATATGCATATAAATTTCCCTTGATTATTTAACTAACCTCATGATGTAGACTTCCTGCACAAATTCACGCTGCATCTCTTCACTTAATTTCTCAGGCTTGAGTACCTTGATAGCAACATCCCGACTACAGTATGTTCCCCGAAACCTAAAGAACATATGGTTTTAGCATCAAAAACGATAAATCATATAGAATTGTTATATATATATACCCTGACTACAACTTACAGATCTCCATATGACCCAGATGCCAGTTTGCTCTCAAATTTAAGCATCCTGAAATCAATTTCCCACACATCAGTTCCATCAGTTGGTATTTGAACATGATCAGGATGAAAGGATTGAGAGCACCCCCCAACCGAAAATTTTTCTGTTATAGGAGACCGTGGAAGGGGCTGTAAGCAAGCTTGCCTCTGACAAAAACTAAGAATTATTAAAAGCCTATAAATCATGAGCCAATCGCCATGCGGGTAGTCTAATAAAAATCTAAAGAAAAAAAAAATAATAAAATCTATTCCATTAGACAAATATCTATCTTATATTTTTAAGGTTCTCTTGGATGATACAACCTATGGTTATAAATAAGGTTCCTTGAGTCAAATTGGGCCAATTACCTCCACTAATTAATAGATCAAAATCCATGACAACCCATAATAACCCATAATGATATAATCATGGAATTTTGATCGGGTTCATCATCACTCTCCCTACCACTTGCTCTAAATGAAAGGTGGTAAATCACTCTCCGTACCACTTGCTGAGGAAGGGTTGAACTGGCCGGCTCAGCAATGAGCAACCTGGATCGGCCGATCGGTCCAATATGAGGGCTTAGTTTGCCATCGAAAGGGGAGGGGCTTTAGTTTTTGTTCCTGATTTCAGAATTCTTAAAGTCTACTTTTCTCCCTTCTAGGGTTGTATCCAAGGATAGGTGGTTCTCCGGCTATATCCTGCTCCAAATCGATGACTACCTCCACACCTTCGTTTGCCTACAACCTCTCCCTACTCGCCGCCATTCTCCCAGCACCCTTATCCTTCTCTGCGGTTGCTGCCGATCATTCCATCAGCCCCCTTGTTGACACAAACTCCAACAAATCTTTTGCTATCGCTTTCCCTCCCTTTCCCCTAAATCTCTGACGCAAACCCAACTTCTTCTTACCTGAGACTACCGCCAACACCCCAACGACCTCCTTACTGTCATCAGCTCCACCAAATCTCCCTTAAGAGCCTCTACCTCCCAACTTTTCCCTCCACTTGTTGTCCAAACGGTTTTCACCAACTCCATCCTCACCCTAGGGCTCGTTCCTATTTTAGGTTGTTTTCTTATTTCTATTTTGGAAGAACCTTATTGCATTCTCTTTGACTTTTTGGCAATAAGATTCTCGTTCTGCTATTTTTAGGATTACTTCCGTATCATTTGGTATCAAAACCAGCCCCCCGCCACCGCACCCTAAAAAAAAAGTTTCTTTTATATCCTCAACAACCTTTTTCAATACCCAAACCCTAATCATGCCACTAAGGAGGTATATATTGGAACCTACCCAGAACAAAATACAGCGAGAGATTTGTCGGCTTCAACGGAGCTTTGCGGAGATTGACGATGGAACCCATGCAGGGATTACCATCGACCGTGATTTGGAGAGTCGACGGGAGAAAGGGACGAGAATCTGTATCTGTTCCACAGGAAAGATGTCAATGATGAGGAAATAGGCCCCGACGCTTCGAAATAAAGTAACAGAGGAGGACGAGAGAGGAGACCACATAAGGCAAACACAGACATTTCAGCATTAAAGTTGATCTAATGGAGTTTGATGGAAACATAGATCTAGACAACTTTATTAATTGGCCGCAATCTGTTGAGTGAAGCTTCGAGTATAAGGAAGTGTCAGATGATAAACAGGAAAAACAAACAACCATTAAATTGAAGAAGAGCGCTTCCTTGTGATACAAAAGCTTGCAGAGGCATATATAGAGAGAAAGCAATTATAAGATTACCAAGTGGAAAAAATGAGGAAGGAGTTGCAGAGGAAATATCAATCACCTCATCACTGCCAAGATATGTTTCTGAGACTCTGCTATCTGTAGTAGAGAGAAAAATTAGTGGAGTTCAAAGCACAAATTGACCACTTGCAGATGAAATGTGAGTTGGTCGAGCTAGAGAAATACACCATGGTCTGTTACCTTAAGGGCTCGAAGCCTGCTATTAGCAATGCTATGCAATTACAACCATATTGGTCACTAAGAAATGTCCAGACCTTAGCCTTGTAGGTGGAAAGACAGCAGAAATAGAGTAGACAACAAACCTTAGTCAGACAACAGTCTTCATTCAGGCAATCACCTGGAGTTACTGCTACTGCAAGGGTACCCCCCTAGAGGAGTTGGAAAGACAAAACGGGTAAGTTATAAGACATATCTAAGTGGAAATAAGTTGTAAAAGAGTAGCTCACCCAGTACAATGCCCGCAACGAGAAGTTTCAAATGTCGAGACTACAGACACAGCCTCCAGTTGTCCCACGAGCCAAGTTATTTCCTTCACAGAGCAGAGCATCATCGAGGAAGTGGAGGAAGAGGAATCAGAGGAGAATCCAAAGGAAGAACTTTAGCTCCAGAGGAATGAGGGAGAGATTTTAGTCATACGGAAAATCCTGTAGATGGAGACGGAGACGGAGATGGAGAGAGATCGGTCATGGCTGAGGCACTATCTTTCACACTGAATGTACTGTGAGGGGCAAAGTTTGCAGTTTGATTAATGGCCTTGGAAGCTGTAAAAATGTAGTATCCAATGTGCAGATGGAGACGGAGACGGAGATGCAGAGAGATCGGTCATGGCTGAGGCACAATATCTTTCACACTGAATGTACAGTGAGGGGCAAAGTTTGCAGTTTGATTAACGGCCTTGGAAGCTGTAAAAATGTAGTATCCAATGTGATGGTGAAAAACTTGAGGTTGGCTATATAAAAAACATCCTCATTCCTATTCCCTTATATGGATTAAAAAGGGAAATGAGATACCTGTTGATCAACAATGCTTGGATGATTTTTCGATTGGAGATTAGTTACAAGAGCAAGTTTGGTGCGACGTGGTCCCCATGGAAGCGTGTCATATTTTTTCAGGGAGGCCATGATAGTTTGACTGCAAGATCAAACACGACGACTTCAAGAATACATTCATTTAAAAAGAATGGAAAATGCATCGTGCTTTTACCTGTCAAGGATGTGAGAGGCGTAGATGACATAGAGAAGGCAGAAGTCCTGAGAGCGACCTTCATGCAGTTGGTTCGGAATGCTCCAGTGGCAATGGCATTGGTCCTACTAAAGGTAACTGAAGAGGAGAGTGAGATCCAACACCTATACAACCACTGCTATGTGACTTCCAAGATGTGATGACTAACAGTTTTCTAGAAGGATTGTCGTAACTAAGAGACATTCAACACGCCATAGATCTCATACTTGAATTAGTTTTATCAAACCGACCTGCCTACAGATGAGGTTTGCAGTGTACGAGGAATTATAACAATAGAGGCAGGATCTCATTGTGAGAGGATTGATCAGAGAGAGTAACAATTTATATGTTGTCCCAGCCCTGATGGTACCCAAGAAAGATGGTTCATGGTTGATGTGCATTGAAAATAGGACCATTAACAAGATTACTATCAAGTGCTCATTCCTCATACCTCATCTGGACGATCTCTTGGATCAGCTGTACGGAGCCATTCACTTTTTCAAGATCGAATTATATAGTGGGTACCACTAGATCTGGATGAGACCTTTCTTCCCTCGAGGTGTTTCGATTCGAGGGTGATAATGCAGGATGAGGTCGGAAAATGTGTGGATGCTACTGGTCATATGCTCTTTCATTTGGTCAATTCCCAAGTGGATATGGAGGCGGTTTTACATATTGCAGCCTTGGTGGTGCTATAGATGTTTGAAACCAAAGGTACTGTGGAGGAAGGGAACAACAACAGTGTGATGGATGTTCTTCAACACTCTACGGAGAGATCATTTTGGAAGAAATTTAGTGACCAATGCCCCACAGTGGCTTTCTTAACTAACTTTCGTCAGGTGCTCTTTTCTCTTACTATTAAAACCAACAATGAAACTAGCTGCTCATTCTTGTGCCCAGCCTGCTCTACAAGATAGTTTTGTTTTAAGAGATTTACATGATAGTCATCCCTTGTCTGTGTTTGTTGAAAGAGAGTGATTTTTGTGAGCATATTGTTTAGGTGCTCTTTTTGTATATTTGTAACTTTCTTTTGATATTTTAATGCAATATGCACACCTCACAGATCCAGATGAGCCAAGGGACGAGTGGAATACCGCTTTCAAGACCCAAGATGAACTATACAAGTGGACATTGAAGCATTTTGGATTGTATAATATGCCCAGTATAATCATGAGGTTGAAGAATCGATGCTCCAGGCCAACATTGAAAAATTTGTGGTGATGTACTTCGATAATAAAGTTTGAGTTGTTGCGAGCAGAAAAGCAATATGCCCAACCAAAGAAGCACCACTTTATCACAACCAATGTATGATTTTTAGTTATATCGTGTCTAGTGCAAGCATTCAAATGGATCCTACAAAGATCGAGGCTATTAGTTAAGCCGCACCGTAGTCTTTCACCTAGCTTAGACAATTTTTAAGACTAGCGTCTTTACAAGACATTCATCAGGAGCTTCAGTAACATCACTCCCCTGAAAGAGCTTTTGAAAGAAGAGAAATTCCAATGGACAGATGCAGCTCAGAACAGTTTAGACACACTGAAGGAGAAGGTGACTCGGGCATTAGTTTTGGCATTATCAGATTTCAATCAGTTGTTCGAGGTAGAGTGTGATGCATCGAACGTGGGGATAAGAGTTGTGCCGAGCTAAGGAGGTCACCCCATAGTCTTTTTCAATGAGAAGTTGAATGAGTCTAGGAAGAAATATTCAACGTACGATAAGGATTTCTATGTTATTGTGAGAGCTCTTGAGCACTGAAGTCACTACCTACTGACGAGCGAGTTCACTTTATTCATGGACCATGAAGCCTTGAGATTCTTGAACAACCAAATTAAATTGAAGAGCTGACACACGCCTTGAGTAGAGTTCCTAGCATCATTTCAGTTTGTGTTTAAGCACAAAGCGGGGAGCCAAACCGTGTAGTAGATACACCGAGCTGTCGTCACTTACTGATCACTTTGATGCATACTTGAGTTGTGAGCTTTGAGGTGGTGAAGGAACTGTATGAGACTGACGGGGATTTTGGGAAAATCTACAAGCAGCGTCAGAAGAAGCCTACCGAGCAATGTTACAGAACTGATGGTTACATGTTCTATTTGATTAAGTTGTGTATTCCTAGACGTTTGTTGAGGGAGTCCATTGTTTAGAAAAGCCGCAGTGGAAGACTTGCACAATATTTTGGTAGGGATGAGACTCTCTCACTTGTGAGAGTACTTTTTTGGCCCTTACTGACGAGAGATGTGGAGCAACACATCAGACAATGTCAGATTTGTCGCATGGTCAAAACAAGGGGATAGCGTGCAGAACTATACACTTCATTACCAATACAGAGGCACCATGAGTTGATGTTAGCATGAACTTTGTGGTGGGCCTCCCGAGAACGCAACGAAACAAGGATTTTGTTATGGTTGTTGTGGATCGATTCTCGAAAATAGCACAAGGTGTGCATCTATGCGCAAGAGTTGAGTGATGATACAATTACAGACACATAAGGGAGCATAACAATTGTAGTATGGTGATCGGCGAGAATGATGGCAAGGGGTTGTGCATGTGTCATGAATAAAAAGAAACAAAGGTGCAGGCGATAGGAGGGGATTAGGGATGGAAACAAGCGAAACAAGACTAATGTCTTTGTGCAACGACAAGAAGAGCAAGGTGCGGGAAGCAAGATCATGAGAACGAGTGGGGGAAGTGGTTTTGTGGAGCAGTAAAGAACAAGGTAGCAACAGTTGGTCGGGGTAGCACAAAGTACAAGCAGCGGAAGCATCAAGCGAGGTGAGCATATGGGGTATCCTTTGGGTAGGAGTGCATGGAATGCAAAAGATGTAGAAAACCAAAATTAAAATCAAGACAAATGTATGATAACACTACGGATAATGGAAAGCAAACGGTACATACGATAGACTAGGCGAGTAACACTAAAGATAGCAGAAAATATAATTTATTGGAATGTAAGAAAAGGAGTGAAATATGTACTAGCAAATTAAGAAGATAGATTAATTGTAAAAATAGATAGGAAGGAAGGAGAATCGGCACCATGATTAGAGTTGTAAAATAAGGTGTAAATTAAAGATAATCACAGTCAACAGGTATGAACAAAGAAAAAGGAATCCGCAAGTCAAATTAACCTGCTTGAGAAGAGGTAAAAGACAATAATGAAAGATAATTTACTCCTTATCAGAGCTCTATGCCCCTTTCATGCAGAAAAGCTTGTGTAGGTTCAAATAGGAACCAGACTTTAACCAACCGGCTTCAGGAGATTTGAGTTGAAGGAATACGAGATCAGGGTAAAAATCCAATGCAAAATGATTAATTTATTCCCATTTAAAAAAAAAACAAAAATGCAACATGTTACAATTCAAAAAGACACTAAAAACACTTCAAATTTACTTTTTTAATCATAAATAACAATTAACACAAGAAAAGCTGAAGTAGAACACACCCATATTTTTTTACGTGAAGCTTACTTGGACATGAATTTGCAGTAGTTAAGGTACGTTATCCAACAAAGATCAGGGTGAGGAGTTTCAAAGCAAACCCAATCCTAATTCTGTTTATATTCCCAACAAATCAATATAGGAATTGTTAGAAGAAATCAACAACTGTAAAAATTCAAAGACAAACTTGTTCCAAAAAATAAAAGAAACTCTGCATATAAAATAGAAATAAAAAAAAAAACACGCCATAATAGGAATTGAATTTAAAATATATACAGCACGAACAACATTTTCCTCTGCAATGTCTTTCCCATAATCAAAACTAACAAAATTACTTGCACCAGAAAATAAGAAAAAAGTTACAACAGAAAAGATAAGAAAATGCAGCAAAGAAAATAAATATGTTTTTTTTCCCATCCACTACAAAAGCATTAATGCAACAAAATTAAGGATGAAAATGCTACGACTTTCCAAATGGACATTTCAGTATCTTTTTCTGAATGCAAGGATACATTCCAGCTTAGAAATTCATCAATTTGAATAAGATTACCTCCATATTTTGAATTTCCCTCTGCAATGCAGTCTTAAGTTGCTCAGTTTCCTGAATTCACATTAAAAAAAAAAAAAAGGTAAAACGCCCATTGAGAATTCAGAAACTAACAATATCAATTTATCCTAAAACTCAATGGTTCACAACAATAAATTGCTTCTCTTTCCAGCAAGCAAAAAAAAAAAACAAGTCTTTCAGTTATGAAGAACTTAAAGATCTACCACACAATTCTAATGTATTTACATATCAAACACCAAAATTTTGATATTTACGCTTGTAACACTTTGGTGTCATAATGAAAAAGTGCGTCTCACTTATAAAAAGACAGTAATTATGGTATTTTTTATGTTAGGTTAAATATTTGAGTGGTGTGCATGTAAATATCATTGTATATGTGTTTAATATGTAAATATATGAGAATTGTGTGGTATGTATGTAAATGCCCCAAATATTTACCTATCTATCTATCTTTTTTTTTTTTTTGAAAGCCCAAAAAGGCTAATATATTAACTAGAAAGAAAGATACAAATACAATGTGTTGGAGGACCCAAACATGACACCCTGCCCACACCAAAACCAAAAGGAGTTCCAAAATTAGAAAATACTGAAAATTACATAAGAGACAAAGAAAAACCCTAAAAATGTTGAAGTACATAGTATCAGGTGGCTAGAGAGCAACCCAATTTAGTTTTGTCTCTGCCTCTGGTTCTAGGAAAAGAGTAAGCTAATAAGTTGGTAAGATGATTGTCATTGCCAGTAGTAACCAATGTATCATCCAATATGTTCCCGAACTGGAGTCGGCCTCCATTTGTTTTCTTCCTCCTAGAATAGACCTGTCATTCCTCTTCTGAAGATTTAGTATGTGTTGGAGATGTGCAGATTGTTAAACATTAAAAGTAACTACATATTATACCGGATGCTCTGTTATTGGATCAAATGAGCACTCTCGCGTGTCTTGACATGTAAGTGAGTCTTCTTCAACAACAGTGGGTGGTATAAGCACAACTGGATCTGTAGCTGTAGTACGTTGTTCTTCCTCAGGAACTGTGGTGTTGTGAAGAGGATTGGGTTGCATTTTTTCAACAGGGATAATAGGTGGTTGTTCTTTAGTGATATTCGGCCTTAGATGATGATGCAAACGATAACAAATTGTAGAGTTGTAGCCAAACATACTACAATGAGAGCAATAAGGATGATGTGATTCCATTTCAACCTTTTGCACATACTCGTTGTCAATAGTATCAATTCGTATCTCATCTGGAGCTGATTGAGTGATATCACTCTCAACTAACACACAAGCCACAGAGGGTCTAGTGACAGCAAGCATAGGATTATCCACCTTGAGAGACTTATCGTAAGCAGTTGCTAAAGAGTAGAGGATTTCAATGTTGAACAGATGTAATCTTAACCCCAGAAACTTTATCCAAACAGGAATGATAGGGGACACCGCTTTTGGATCAAAATCGACAGTCCACTTCAGAGATTTCATAAAACGATTATCAAACTTGATAGTTTTTCGAGAGAAAATGCGAGTGTAATCAACATCATGAGATAGTTGAATAAGTATGTCTACCATCAAGTAAGTCAATGTTCCAACTGCCCAATAATTTCATGGCATCAAACTCCTTCCTAATGATCTCCAGTTTTTGGTTACTATAAAGGAATTTCCCAAGTTTTTTAATAAAAGTGTGATCACCTCTACCTTTAAGAGCCTCGTGAAAAAATTCTGGAACATTGCAGGACTTACCGATAGCAAAACCAGACATTGAATCTGGAGGAGGAGAACTAGCAGGAAGGGCAAGTCGCTGGCAAGAGCATTTGCATAGGAACGGAGCATCGAGGCCATCTCCCTCACCAGATGGTCATGGTCAGGACAGAAATAGTCTGGCGGGCCGCAAAGATGCGAACAGGATACGAGAAGAAATCGTCTGTCGGGCAGGAACAGCCGCGTCCTTCTGCGAACAAGAACGTCTGTCGGGCAGACGAATGCGAGCAGAGAGGCGCATCGTCGTTTAGGAGATGACGTGCGAATAGTTTGTCGTCTTCAGGCACCTGCAAGATGGCGAGCAGAAGACACAACTTGACGAAACAGTCGAAGACGGATTAGATTGGTGTGCGCAGCTCGACGAGACAGTCGAAGATGATGGAAGACGAAATGGAGCGAACTCTTCGAGCGTGAGATTACCGTGGCAGAGGCTAGGGTTCGCCATGTATTCAGTTTTAATTCTACTCAAATGAAGGCCTATAGTAGACCTTTATAGTTCAAGTTTTTCTTGGATTTTTACTCTCGTCTTATCCACGAGAAGGATATCATCAGCAAAAAACATACACCAAGGTAAATCCTCCTGTAAATGTCTAGTAAGACCATCCTTAACTAAAGCAAAAATATACGGGCTTAAAGTCGATTCCTGATGTAATCCAATAGAAATGATGTAATTTAACAGAAATAGTAAAATACTTGGTCAATCCTCCATCAATTCAAACACAAGTAACACCTCTAGTATACATATCTTTGATGACTTGAATATAATTCATATCAGCACCTTTCTTCTCAAGAACTCTCTAAAGGATATCTCTTTGAACCTTATCGTAAGCTTTTTAATTAAATGTAAATCCTCCTTATTATCTCTGAACTTCTCCATCAAACCTCCCAATAAATGTATAGCTTCAATGGTAGACCTACGCGACATAAATCCAAATTGATTATGAGAAATTTTTATAATACGTCTTAACATATGTTCAATTACTCTCTCCTATAATTTTAAAGTATGACACATTAAATAAATTCCTTTATAATTTGCATACTCTTGTGCATCTCCTTTATTCTTAAAAATGGGGATCAAAATACTCTTCCTCCACTCCTCAAGCAAGTTTTTAGTTTTTAAAATAATATTAAAGAGTTTAATGTCAATTATTTTTATTTATAGAAATTTTTCTTTTGATTATTTAAATACATCTTTTGCTACTTGTTTAATGGTGTTTGTTAACATCCCAAAATTTGAAAATTTGAATTTTACTCAAAAATAATAATTTTATTTCTGTTTTTTAGATTCCCCCATATAATTCTATGATGAAGTGTCCTAGTATTATTTATTTTACAAATCTTCATCTTAAAATCTAGAACTAATAATCGATGTAGGGTACTTAAATTCTCACTTGAAATGACTATACAATCTTTACAATCTCGACGATCTCTTCTTCTCATAAGAAAACAATCAATTTGTGTTTTATTAAATCCATTCTTATAAGTAATAAGGTGCTCATCTTTTTTCTTGAATAATTATTAGTAATAATAAATCATACAACAACAACAAACAACAACTCTTCATTAGACACTCCAAAACCGTAGCCACCATAAATATTTCTGAAATCTTCTATTACTCTACTGACATGTCCATTTAAATCTCCTCTAATAAAAATTCTTTCTTCAAGAGGTATCATTTCTATTAAATCTTCTAAGTCATTCCAGAATTTATTTTTAGACTCTATATCCATACCTACTTGAGGAGCATAAACACTTATAATATTAAAAATCTTAGTATAAAAAATAATCTTAAGGGCTATTATTCTATCTCCAACTCTATTATTTTTTACAACATTATCTTTCAAACTCTTATCTATAATTACACCTACATCAATTCTAGTGCGACTTTTCACATAATACCAAAGTTTAAAACCTAAGTTATCAATCTCCTAAGTCTTTTCTTCAACCCATAAGATATTAATCTTTCTATATATCATAATATAAATTAATTACATTAATTTACCATTGAGAGTACCTATATTTCAAAACCTTATCATAATTCAAAATCTTATCATAATATTAGTTTCATTAGTTACATCAACTAACTTCTTTACTCGCATCGGTTCGTAACGTGTGAATCCTTACTTATTTGAAACTATACCTGGGCGCCGGTGTAGATACCCTTATTTGAAACTATACCTGGGCGCCGGTGTAGATACTTTTCACTATATTCAGGCAATATAGCGCGCCGCTTCCAGGGGACGCCTCAGTACTTACAAAATATTCAAAAGGATTCATGTTATGGTTTTATTTCGATAAGTTTTACGCTGGTTGTCGATTACCTAATGCAACCTTCTACTTTTCACATCCGAACTTGGGACCAGCAATGACAGTGTTACAAAAAAACTTCTAATAACCAATCATAGCCTACAAATGCCTTATTTAACATATATAAATAACACCAATAAATGAAATCGCCCCTATTCTAGGAATTCATGTATATCCTTAACAATTTCACATTTAATTTATCATAGCTCATTTTGAGGCATCCTACTCTTTGAGGTAACAAGGTAGCTAGCTTAAGAGAAAGAAGTGATCATTAACATCTTCAAATGACCAAACCAGCCAACACATGATCAAAACAACAATCGAAACATGAAGCTCTATAAGAAAAATGGCTCAAAAAGTTAAAATTGAACTAATAATTCGCACAACAACATCTACGAAGGGCAGAAACAAGACCACACCCTATCTGTGAAGCCGACGAAGATATCCTCTCGAATTCATTCACATTCCTGCACACAAGTCTCTCGATGATCATGCAAAGCCACTCTATCATTTATTTTGTATGAGAATAAACGATAACATCAAGCATTTTCAATCACAAGGTCCCAAATCAGGGATTAAACAAACGTCAAAATTTTCATTTATTAAAAAAGTCATGAAATTCTTTTAACAAATAAGGGAAAAAAACAAATCAAGCCTATCAAAAATAAGAGTTGATTAGTGGTGGAATGGCCTTCTCTCTATCCTTAAGCACTCAACATTCGTCCAAACTCTCTCAAGGAGCACAACCCATCCTTCTCACTTGGTCTATGATTCTCTCCATCGCTGACAAGTTCTTTAGGGCATCCTTGAGCAACATTGGTGCACAGTTTTCCTTGATTTCAAAGATCTTGGCATCTAATAATTCCTCTGGTAAGGGATACCCAACTCGATAAGGTATAAATCACCATGTCAAGCGTCAAGTTTGTAGCTTTTTCCAATGATTAAGATATTTTTATGGACTTAACTGTATCTTTAATAA